AGAAAGCTTGTTGGGGAATAGATATGTGGTTTCCATTGAAGATTATTTTACCAAGATATTGGCCTTGGGTCCTGTTCCAAATCAAGAAGCTAGCACTGTGGCTTGGGCTTTTTTGAAACATTTCATTTGTTTGTATGGGTCTCCTTTGCAAATCCACTCTGATCAAGGTCGACAATTCGAATCAAAATTATTTAAAGAACTGTGTGAGATGTTTAAGATGAGCAAGACCAGGACAACACCTGATCATCCCCAATCTGACGGTATGGTAGAGAGGTCGAACCGCACTGTTGAGGCAATGTTATCCAAAATTGTAGCTACTGACCAACGGGACTGGGATGAATGTTTGCCTTTCGTGGTGACAGCATATAACAGTGCGGTCCATGCGTCGACCGGTTATAGCCCCAATTTTTTGATGTTCCGGAGAGAGGTAAGGACCTCTGTTGATCTTTTACTCGGGCCTCCTCCTGAGATTGAGCAAGGGAAGTTGGATGATGATTATTACACCAAGTATTGTCAGCAATTGCAAGACATGATGCTCAATATTCATGAGGCAGCCCGAAATAATATTCAATTGGCAAGTGATAGGCAAAAGAGGGGTTATGATCTGAAAACCAATCTGAAAGCGTCAAAAGGTTCGCTAGTTTGGGTTCATATTCCGGCTGTGAAAGTGGGTCAAACATCAAAATTCGCGCTTAAATGGCATGGTCCGTATCAGGTGATGGAAAAGTTAGACTATCTTCGTTACCTCATCAAAATTAATGAAAAGGATAAGAGAGTCATTCACCACGACCGACTAAAAAAGTATGTTCAAAAAGTCAAAGAAAAATCTGCTAATGAACTTGAAACAACTGGAAATGTCGAGATTCCGGGGCCAGATGTTGTTGAACCTGTCCAGGTTACGGGAAAAAGGGGAAGGGAACGCAGGAAACCAGGGTGGCTAGACGAGTATGAGACTTATTAGGGCCACTTTGGAGGAGAGTCAGGCGGAATGATTTAGATATATATTTATAATTATTATTGATCATATTAACCACCATTGTATAGTGCCTTTAGAGCCGCTCGGGGGTAAAAAGTTTGCCCAGGAGTGGAGAGAAGGGCAAGGACGCCAGTAAATGTCTTTGTTTTCTTCCAGGACTGCAAAGAACAGATCCCACCTCCAGCCGGATGGAATAGGGATAGGGCATTCTTCTGTTGGAGAGCCTTTGTGACTCAAGAGGAGCTACAGGTGCATATAGCATGTGCCCACCGAGCCACAGAGTCTTGTGGAGTGTGGGGTTGTGAAGCCCGCTTCTGCCCAAATGAGATAGAGCAACTCCGCCTGCATCGCTTAAGGCAGCATGCGTTATCCCCCAACAGAGAGGCAGAGCCACCAAGTAAAAGGCCTAAGAGGGTGCTGCGTGCCATTACTATCTCAACAACTGCAACTGGACCCTCAACCTCTACAACTGCAACTGGACCCTCAACCTCTACAACTGCTACTGGACCCTCAACCTCTTCAACTGCTACTGGACCCTCAACCTCTGCAACTACATCAACTAGCCGGTCAGGGGACTCCAGTGAGAAGGATCCCCTGTGGTCGGGGTTGGACTCCGACCTATTGAATTGGGTGCAGGAATGTCTGGACAGCAAGGAAGCCGATCAAGGGGATGGATCAGGTCAGGACAAGGCCTGGTCCATCGGGTCTCCAGAGCCCCTAGGCTTTTCAACTATACCCTTTTGGACTCTAAAATTTAAAAAAAACAAAAAAAACAACAACCACTAAAATTATCATTGGACTTTTGAAGTATTTTATATTTGAAATTGTAGGCTAACTTTTACTTATGGACTCTTGAGATTGATTTTAATTTTAGGCTAACAAAATTTAACTTTTGACAACGATTAATTTTAAGTATAACTTTTTTAGGCTAGAGAAAAATTTTAACTTTTTTTAATGTTAATTTTCATACCTTTTTTCGGACTTGTACAATTTTTTGCAAACTTTAAGGGGGGCAGTTGTAGAGACCCACTCTACCTATTAAAGCATAAAGGGCAAAATAGGGAAAATGCAGTATGGTTTTAAAATCCCTTAATGGTCTGTGGTTTTGGAAAGTATAAATTGTTTGTTGTATTTTGTGGAATAATCTAAGTGCATTGGGAGTTAATGGGGACTTTTCTGGGTAGTGAATTGTTTTGTTGTTGTTTTGCCTGGCTTTAGTGAATGCAGACCTTGATCATGAAACTTCACTCCGGTAATCAGCTGATAGTGATAGTGGGTTCCTGGCTCTGTGGTGTTGAGTTCCTCATAAATTATATCTTGTGAATCAGTGTTTAAGCCTTGAGAATGCCTTCGGTTGCAGAAATTGTAGTGGAATTTAGAAAAATACCTCACAGGAATTTCGGGGATTCCCCGTTTCTCCGTTGCAGCAGGGCAATGAGGGGATCCATATGTTGCCTTGAAGCCTGGATTCCTGGTAGGAATGTGCTTACCCGGCATTCACTGGGACCCTAAAAACCTTTAAAATTCCTCTAAAATATGTAACCTTGTGCAATCCTGGCAGGAATTTCTTTCAAATATCTATTAGAAATGCAATATCATGCATTCTTAGGTGGAATCTTTTAAAATACCGGTCTTTGAGCGTTTAGTATAAAATGCTCTTCGTACCTGCTTTGTTGTAACAGTTTTGATCGTCTACCGGCCCGGCACCCAGCATACGAGAAAGCATTTGGACGCTAAACGATTTTTCGGTCTTCTGCAACTTGCATACTACAAGTCGCCGCGTTTGATATCTACTGGAATTTGTTATAATATAAAAATATACGTTGAGGAACGCAAACACTGATTACTGAGAAGATGTCATCTACACCAATGAGAATGTTTGTAAGTACAAATTGATTATTAAATCGCCAGATCATAGTTTCAAGAGACAATTGAAATATAAAATCATAATCAGCCAACATTTAATAATATTTAATTCAATGAATATCTTTGAAGAAGATTTCTATAGTCTATTAAGTTCAAACAATAAGGTTTGGAAAGAATAGAAGAGAGATTTAATTTATTAATCTTTGAGTAAGATTTCTATAGTCTATTAAGTTCGAACAGTAAGGTTTGGAAAGAATAGAAAAGAGAAATTTGATTCAATAGTTTTTGATTAAGTACTTGCAATAAGATTTCTATAGTCTATTTGAGTTCAAATAATAGACCGTCTGAACGGTAAAGATTTGGAAGGAATAGAAAAGAGAAATTCAATTTAATTGGTATCTTTGAATAGGATTTCTGTAGTCTATCTAGATTCGAACATAGGTCATTTGGATGGCAGAGGTTTGATTAAGAGATAGAAAGAGAGAAATTACAATTAGTTTATGATTAGAATTGTTTGATTACTCTGGGAATTTGATTGGCGATTGAATGATTAACCTGAATTGATTTCTCTCGTTTGTACTTTATATCGGAAAGTTAGAGCTGATTGATTGTCATCGATTTCTTATTCATTTTCTGTTGACTGTTTAGTTCGAACATTTGAGGTTCGGAAGAAATAGTAGAAAATATAAGGAAGCTTTGAACGTAAATATCGGTTCATTAAATAGTTATTTATATCTGCTTTGGATGAATATTTCCATTGTCTATTTAGTTCAGTCAGAGATCACTTGGTGTGGTAGAGGATTGAGAGAGAAATAGGAATGAAATAATTATCCCGCTGTCAAAATCCATAATTGTTTACAATTTACGTGTAGCCGCTACTAGAGTGAAAAAGCAAGTAATTACTTTGAAAGAGTTCAAGAAAGAGAGTTAATTGTCTAATTAGCCGATAACTTTTGAGTGTTGCGGTTTATTTGTAATTGAGCTATCACTTTAACGGGATAATCGTATCAGCAGTTTACAACCCGAGAACATTATATCAAAATAAGTGCGTAGGCCCGACATTAGTAAAGGGTATTTGTTTTCCTCAGTCAGGCAAGTTTACAGCTCATATTTGCCATTGTGAAATTTATGAGGTATGTCTCTTTGTACTTGTTGAGAGTTTTTATTATCACTTAGGGATTGTTTTATAAGAACTATAATATATGAGAATCAGGTTTCTAAATTCGAGGTGAAAACAGTTATAGTTGTCATTTAAGGATCTGGAAACCATTTGTTTTGGATTCGGAGGTCTTAGGGTGTTCAAAAAGGAATTTATGAAACGTAACCTGAGGGGCGGAGCAGGGAATTGTTGTTAGTAACATAAGGTTTAGATCCCTAGAGGTTAATTACCCTTATTGTTTGGAGTTTTGTTGGGAACAATCCTTTCGCACTTTAGGTTTAGAATAAATCAAGTTTGCTGGTTGTGGGCATTATCAAGTCCTGTTAGGCTTTTAGCTTTATTCGAAGTGACAAGGCATTTAATACTTTCTGGCATTTATAGAGGGCGTAAAAGACAATAAAGTTACAAAGCTTACTATTTTGAGTTTAAGTTGACCTCATGTACTATAGTGTATGTCCTACATCAGTAGTATAGAAAGTATCCATTTGAAACACGTGATAGACTATAGAATTCTTGTTTGTATTAAATTATAAATATTATAATAATCAATCTGAGCAGTTATTCTTAGATAACTGAAAGGCATTTGATTGCATGCACATTACATATTTATTCATATAAAGTTTAATCGAATAAAATTAATTATAGATATACATTACCATCTTATAGTAAGTATCTTCAGGCTTGATAGGCCTAGTTGTTATTTTAGCACATTATTGTTGTTGCACATTTATTTAATCCGTATAAATCTGGTGTGTAGCTTTACCCTGACTCTCTCATCTTGAGAAACTGACTTCCTGTACCCTTACTTAATTTTAGTTATAATCTTTAGAATACGAGCTCTATTATCTATTTCCGGTCACGTTTATCAAAATCTCGCATTTCCCGAGATCAGTATTCTATATTTAGCATTGACCAGAGCTAGTATTCTGTAGAGACCCACCCTGTATATAGCTATTTTATTATAATATATTTAATCAGTGTGTGCCCCTTTAATATCCATAATCAGTATTTAACCATATCATGTCCCTTTAACATGATCATATTATTGCAATACGTAGACCTGGACCATCGTATCAGAGCCAGTATATTTATAGAAAAAACCTATTTATCATTGTAAAACGCTGAATTTGCAGTCTCAACTTTGCGTCACTTTTCAAAGTGACATCATTTTCTCAGTCCCTACCTCATAATTCTTGTCCAATAAGCTGCTCTTTCTGCCTTTTTTTCTACCCTACGTAGCTCTAAAAACCTTGGTAATATCCCATTTTTAGCAACATTACATATATTTTTACCTACGTCGTCTCCAAGATTGCGTATGTCCATCTGTTGCTATATAAACAAGTGTCTTTCGCGGATACAATGTAACAATTCCTGCACTGCTGAACCTAAGATTCGGAAAATACTCGCTACAGCCTGACAGCACAGTATCCTTAGATTTGATCGGTTGAGCTATGAACGTGATCTTTGACGGATAACGGGGTGTTGGCGTTTGGGTAAGTTGATTTTCAGTACTGTATAGAAATCTATAGCATTCCATTAGGGAGTGAAGAGATTTAAGACAGTAATATTGATCGATAATTGAACTTTGAGAAAACATTTCAAAACTTTCATTTTTCCCGCACGTATTTCCTAACGGTGTTATCTGCAGTCTGTAACAGTTGAACAAGATTGGGAGTTTGTCCCGATAAGCCCATATGCTGGGAAGGTTCAAGATAGTACAGAATAGAGATTCACGTTATCAATTAAGGGAATTATTGGTCAAATTAAATCATAACTTTGGGGAAAGCAGACGACTTAGTCACGTGATCACATACGTCACTTTTGAAGTCTAGATTCATTCATTGAAACTTGAGCATCTTTGTGGATTATTGTATCCTAGACAGCTTTTAACTTGAACTTGATTGTAATTGAAAGAAGTCCTTACGGGCACATTCCATCGAGTTCGCACCTCTGGTGTTTAAAATAACACCCTTAGTCTTTGACGGTTGAAAGTTCACAGCTCTTTCCCATTTATCAAAATCTCGTTCGGGCTTTTAACGCATATCTGACGTCACTTTTCATGCTATTAGTTCCCGACTGAATTTATAGAGGGCATAAAATTCAACTTTATTACAAGATCGTTGTTGGCAATTCTCTTCTGATTTGAAGTAGTATCCCGGTCATAATTTTGAAGACATTTTATCAGACTGCAGATTTCAGCGTTATTGAGATTAATTTCATCCTAATAGATTTAAAGACACTAAGCATTTATGTAAATTATAATCTATATAATTTAAATACTATTTATTCGCATTGTACATATATATTTCAGTTGTGACATGAAACGCAAGTATAATAGAATAGACTTTATTGAATGAATATATTTCTTGTGTGATTTACTATTAGTTGGTAGTTGGTGTGGTGATATTTAAAGTACCTAATCCCTTATTCTTTTTAGCTTGCTGTGTTGTATTTGTGTAGGTTTATATTTCACCTTGTAACTTCACCCTTTTTACACTAGACCTATCATTCTATCATATTCCCGACACCGATTCATCACTTACCTCATTAGTAATTTCTTATGAAGTACTAGTCCAATTTCCCTTTGTTCTGGCTCACGCTACCTATATTTCTATAATTCACTTCCGGGTTATTGGATGGTATTTTATATAGGTTTGTTTATATTTTCACCCTGTAACTTCACCCTTTTGACACTA